TTGTTTCAAAAGCTAATTGAAAGAGGATTCATGAGCCGTTTTAGTTTCTACTTATTTAAATTAGCTAAACAAACGATAATTCCTTTGCTAAAATAGGGTGGCAATAAGTGAAATGACACAAATTATCGATTTAAGAGAGGTCCCCCTCCCTAACCTAACAAAAATATATCCCACTATGATGGATCAGCAACATGAATTCTTTTTCTCCATTATGTCATGTTAACAATCAAATTTTCATCGAAATCTAATAAAAAAATGTTATTTCTAACATTTTCTTATCAAATCTTTTAAGGCATATCTCTAATTTTCTTAACATAAATCAAATCTAATGCATCTACTTTCTTAATCGGGTCATCGGAAGTCCTTCATTTTATGTGACCAAACCATCTAAGGGACTCCTCTAATCTTATCTTCCACTAGGGCTACTCCAACCTTTTTCTGTATATGCTCATTTAGTATCCGATCTCTAAGAGTAATCCACTAATCCACCTGAGCATCCTTATTTATGAACACTTAATGTTATGCCTCTCTTTTAATGGCCAACATTATGTACTATAAAGCATTGTAGGTCTCACAACCATCTTAAAGAATTTTTCCCTTAAGTTTGAGAGAGACTTTTCTTTCACATAATAAGCTCGATACATTCCTCCACTTCAACCATCCAATTTGAATTTTACTAATAATATCCCCATCTATTTCACCATCACTCTGAACATGCAATATACCTTAGATATCTAAAATGTATACTCTTATTAATGACTTGATCATCCAAAGTCACAATCCCCCTACTAGATCTATTATTACTAAAATTAGACTCCATATATTCAGGTTTAGATCTACTCTAACGAAAGCCATTAGACTCTAAAGTTGACCACTATGATTCAAGTTTACCTTCAACTACCTCTCCAATCTTATCAACAAGAAGAATATCATCAACAAAAAGCATACACCAGGGTATAACCTCTTGCAAATGTCTAGTGAGAACATCCATGATTAAAGCAAAAAGATATGGGCTTAAGGCTTATCTTTGATGTAATCCAACTAAAATAGGAAAATGCTTGGTAAAACTACTTTGTGTTTGAACACAAGTAATAACTCCTACATACATATCCTTAATGACTTGAATATAAGCATTATTAACCCCTTTCTTATGTAGAACTCTCTATAGAAATTCTCTTGGAACTTTATCTTATGATTTCTCTAAATTAATAAAAATTATATGTAAATCCTCCTTATTGTCTCTATACTTCTCCATCAAACCTCTCAATAAAAGTATAACTCCACAGTAGACCTACTTGGCATGAATCAAAATTGATTTTGAGAAACATTAGTGTCATGCCGCAACCTATACTCCATAATTCTCTCCCATAGATTTAAAGTTTGAAACATTAACTTAATTATATTTAGCAGATAAACGAAGCCTTCTTTTAAGGAAAGTATATCCACCAAACTTATCCTGAAAGATCTTTTGAACATAATTAGAAGACATGCAAGGTGGTGCCATTCCAGCAACTGAAGTAGCCTCGTGTCTTAACCAGCATTCCTACATCATACGTGTCTTCAACCTCCTTTCTCTTCAGCTCCAACCATTATTATACTTCACCGACCCTATTGCTCCTATAAATAACTTGTAGCCATCGATGGAGTAAATAGCTAGCTAGAAGAGAGTGTACTGTGCAAGTACATACGTATATAAGCTATGTCTAACGTGCAGGAGAGGCGTGAACTCAACGAGCAGGCAGAGATGACGGTGAAGCCAGGAGGCAAGGGTGGCAAGAGCTTAGACGCTCAGGAGAATCTCGCCGAAGGTATATATATTGTAAAGTTCTAGAGTTAATATTTTGGTATAAAAAAAATGATACGTAGAACTAGCCTGTTATAGGGAGGAGCCGTGGAGGGCAAACGAGGAAGGAGCAGATTGGAACTGAGGGTTACAAAGAGATGGGTCGAAAGGGTGGGCTCGGCAAAGCGGAGGAGACTGGCGGAGAGCGTGCCACTGGGACGGGGACCAATATCGACTAGTCCATGCATGTTTCATGCTTCATCATAATACTCCACTAATGGAGAGTCCAAGTTACGCAGTATTAGCAGTAGTAAGTTTGTATAACTAAGAAATGTCTGTGTATATATATATAGTTGTCTGGGTGTTGTGTATATGTTGCTTTCATCGAAGGGCTCTAGTGAGGGTTTGTCATGTTGTGCTGTTTGGAATTCCATTTCTAGTGTTTTTGTGGCAAGAAATGTGGGCAGCTATCTGATATATATGTATAAAAAGTTGTCTTTGAGTACTACTATA